TACCTCCCAAGAGCTGTATTTCTTTCTTAGCACCTTGGCTTAATCTGTGGATTCTGTTTCCCGTATGGCACAGAGGCAATGTTCCCACCCTCTTCCATTCTACAGAAAATTTGAAGCTGAGCTTCATAAGTCACTCCGTGCTTAGTGGCCAGCCAATGATTTGGGCAGATGCTCCCTGATCCAGGTCCTCTTTTGTTTTCTATTTGTGTGTTTATATGAGGGTGCATATTGAGTTTGAAAGTCAGTCCCAGCTTGTGTTTTTGGAGGAGTCCTCTTGCATTTCCATATGTGCTCAGTTATTCTAGGTGGATGTATGGAGAACATAGAAAGATCTCTGTGGCTGCCTCGTTTCCCATTCTGATGATGTTTAGGCTGCTAATATGATGCCAAGATCGTGATGCCAGGCTAGCTGGGCACTATTCACACATTCACCAGTTAACTACTGTTACTGCCAATGCCACTGAGCATGGGATGTTATTTGGACTTCAGTTTCATCCAGGATCCCAGATTACAATGTCTTCCGAGCTTGATAAAAATCATCCTGTGGGTCTTGCATCCCACAGAAAGCAAGTCTTACTCTGGAAGGCCCTCGAGCCCTTTTGTGAAGGTAGCCAGGCTCAGTGGCTCGCCTTCTGATGGGGTTGCATTATTCCTCATCGTCACTTCTGCATGACATTCACATCTACTCAATGCCTAGATGATCCCTGGACCAAAAGGGATAATCCCCTGACAATGTCCTATGAGTGATGATGGGTCCTTTGGTCTTCTAAGAAATGAACATGTAGGACTGTTCATGTAAGGTGGCTTAGTGGGTAAAAGTGCTTGCCACACAGCTTAATGACCTGTGTTTGGTGCCCTGAACACATGCTGGCCTCTAACCTCCACACATGCACTATGATACACTTGTGCCTTCACTGACACACAGCGTAAGTGAAACAATTGCCCTGAGAACCTGCTAGTAATATCCAGCAATGGAACCATGATATGATGTGACTTCTCTGAAAGGTGCTATTTTCCACAGTGCAGGTGAAGGGTCAGAATAAGAGTTCCGCTCAGGCTCACCTAGTGGAGTTTTGAGGCAGGGTCTTGCTATGACCCTAGGCTGGCCTGGAACTTGCTGTGACCTTCTTGTTCCTGCCTCCAGAGTGTTGGGATTACAGGTGTGCACCACCATGCCCAGTTCCATCTGCACTCTGTGAGGTGGACATCAAAGGGCCTTGGTAGTACAGGCAGAATGCTGCTAGCCTTTTCCTAAATCTAAGTCCAAGTCTTTAGTATGGCTTCAGTTTCTCCTCATCTCTAGCAACCTTCCTGCATACTCTAGATTAATCCAGTAATTCAGCCCCACTGACTATGGTCCAGCCCATCTTTCAGTACCCACCTGGTGGAGTAGAGGTGCCATTATCCTGCTTTATCACCACCTACCGGGCACCCTTCTATGGGAGATGCTACTTACTATAAAATTCTACATTTATGAAGCTGTTCTAATACCATTGTTAACTTTCTACTAGGGTTTCTAGCCATCACAAGGCAGTCAGTTATGTCCAGGACTAGAGAAATTCCAGCAGACACAAAGACAACTCATGTCTGAGGCACATGTATTTTTGGAACATAGAAAATAGCTGTTAGTCTACTTTTTTTTTTTTTTTTTGTACTTCCTGCCAACTCATGAACAATACACACACAAGGGAGGTGAGCTTAGATCCAGATTCTGTGGCACCCGGGACAGTGCTCCTTTCTTTCAACCAGGCCCTGGCCTAAAGTTTTCCACTCAATGACCCATGGGCAGAGGCATCTAAGAGCAGGAGTGTGGGATTCATGTTTGACACCTGCTTGCTTCGTCTACCGCCCCCCAAATGACTACTTTGCTCCCATCCAGCACCCGGTGGTTCTGAAGAACTGCAGATACCCCACATTCCTCCTCTTTTCTGACAAGAGGCTTCCACCCTCAGCTGTCTGTGCTACTCACACTCATTTGGGTCTCAGCACTCTTTGCCTCTCTGGGTGGATCAGGGGCAGCATGAGCCTATCCCAGAAGCAACTGCCAGTGCTGGCTTAGCACAGGGACAGCTGAAAGCCCACACCCTGGCCCTGGTTCTCAGCTGCTGACCTGGTTTCTATGTTGACTTGGGATTCCTGCTCACAGGGAGAAGTTGCAGGCAGAGAAGCAGTACTCAATGGATGTTGTATCTCTCTTCTTCTACTTCTTGTTTGGAGACAGTCTCATACATAGATCTGGGTAGCCTAGATCTCAGTCATGGGCCACAACGCCCAGCTCAAGCCTTCCTTCTTGCTCTTCTTTCTAGATCACTGACTTAGTTCAAGTTAGTATTATATCTTGATGTTATCATTTCATTAAAAAAATCACTCCATTTTACAGACAACCCCCCCACCAGAACTGAATTTAATAATAATCTGCCAAGACCCCCTCCCACCCAGCTTTTCTTGTAATTCTTTCGGATGCTGTCTCCATTCCCAGGGGACACAGATCTGGTTCCAAGGAGCTGGGTGGGGGAGGGTATTGAGGTCACACAAATCATGTCTTTCCTGATCCTAGTGTCGAATGTGCTCAGACTTCAAACCCAGAAGGCCTAAATACTGCCCCCCAAATCTTCAAGGGTGGGGTGGTCCCAGAGCTCATGATGCCCAGGACACTGGGAATACCGCATACCAGCTGGGTTTGGGGTTTCAAGTATTTTCAGGTAGCTTTTTTCTGGGCTGGGACTCTGGAACCAGTTTCCATGAACAGGTCAACTCCCTTCTTCCTGATGTCTTTGTTGTCCCTGACCTAAACCAATTCTTTTTTAGGGAGAGCTTGCCAGGATTCCCACTCCAATCTCAGCGGTGAGAATTCTGTAGTAGAGCACACTATGGGAAAACACCACTAAAGAACTGGTATTTAGCTGGAGGGATACAGAGTACTGGTAGTGTCCTAAGACAGGGCAGGCCAAGGCCAGCTTTGGACAGCTACCCCGTTCACTATTAGCAATTTCAGGAGACAAAGGCTAGTTGGTACTCTAGAGCCAAGGAGGGGCCCATCCCTTCTCTCAGTCCCTGATGAAAGTGGGACAAGAAAATGGGTGGCTGGGCATGGATTGAAATGACAAACGGGTAGCTCTTCTACAAATGTGGAGGTTTATTTCAACAAAATGTGAAAAGAGTGCATTGGACTGAAGCCCCTTGCTCGTTGGCGTGTGTGTCCATCGAATTCTCACTGACACGAGTGAAGGCTGCTTTGTGAACGAAGTGAACAGATAATATGGCAATCTCAGTTCAAGCAAGTCTGGGTCAATACATCATTCATCCTCCTCCCTCAGTAACCTTGCATGTGTAATGGGCTGTGGGACCATCAGATCGCTCATGTGTTGTGGCTCTGACTTCTCCATATGAAAAGCTCCTGTCCTGGGGATGGGGCAGCAGGGAGAGGGGAGTTAGAAGCACAGCCCACCTCACCTCTGAAGAAATGCCAGGACAGGCCTCCAGGAGGGTAAACTTTCATACAGCAGTGGCATATGGGAACTGGCTGTGCTGCAGCAAAGTGAAGGCTGGAGCAAATCCCATCCTCACCTAGCAGGGAAGCAAAGAACCAGGGGCCAGGAAAGCTTCCCTCTGGACTGAGGACGATTTCCACCTGCCCCGCCCATCTCTCCTTCCACCAGGGCTTGTGGGGGTGGGACAGCTTGCATCTGGTCCCCTGGATGTCCACTTGTGATGTGGAGCTGATGAGAAGGTCCTCTGGAATATCTGCATGAGGTGTTCCTGAAGGGGAGGCCAGCTCCTTTTGTGGAATCCAGGGTTAAGGCTCAGACAGAAGTATTCATGCCAATGGTTTCTGTGGCATCTTAGTGATTTCCTCCTTGATCTCCAGCAAAAGATGCATGAGTCACACTGTAGGAACTGGATGCTACAGCTCTGACCATCTCCACTCTTGCTTTAGGAACACCAAGGCTGTGTGTTCTTGGATAAATGGGTTGTTAAGCTCTCCGGGTCACCCCTGAGGAGGCCCTGTTGCTGGCCATGGAGAGCCCAGAAAGTCTGGAAACACCAGCACCGTGACTGAACTGTAAAGAATCTTAAGAGTAGGTGAATTCTTGTTCCCTAGAAGCCTCCTCACACCAGGAAAGCCAGTTTCTGGTGCTGAAAGCACAGCTGTCATCAAGGTGGGTGACCTGCCACACTTTCTATCAGGAATAGGGATGGGTAACTTTGTAGGCATGGTCCCACAGTGACAACCTTCCTAGTCCACAGAAGAGTCTTCTGTCTTGGACTACTCTTTTAGCTCACCACCTCAGGCTCCTGCACTGCCTGCCTCCAGCCACCCACACAGAGGCTAGGGCTCTTATGCATTGGCCTTTAGCTCCTGGGTATAGTCAACTAGCCACTCAAAGTTGAGAGTGTTTTACCAAGAACAATGACTTGGTCTGTTTTTGAGCCTGCCTCTTAGATTATGGCTCCGCCCTCATCTCTCAGAAACAGGTATCTTGGTGTGGTTAGATGGGGACCATTCCTCTCCAGTGCCTGGTGTGTGCCAGGCTGCACATGGGGTAGCCATCGATGGACTTGAGTCTCCTTCCTCAGCCCCAGCCCTCCCCTGCTGCCTGCGGCTGTGGCTCATGGGGCAGGGGCTACAGACACTTGGACACTGTTCACATGGCCCGGTCCTGTGCTGGGGCAGGCTGGACAGGAGGGCAGTCCTGCTTTAGTCTAGTAAGACCTCATGGTACAAGGATGTACCCTTCATTGCCTTCTCAGTCCTGTGCATGGAAAGAGAACTGTCATCACAGCTGGGCTAATAAATACTGAACCGGGTATGTGTGACTGGGCTTTGTGATCCTAGAGCCCAGAATGTCATGCAGAACCTGAAACACTCAAGGGGAAGCAAATGCCACTCTGACTGCAGTACTGGCTTCCGGTGCCTTCTCATTACAGTGGTTTCAGATGTAAGAGGCAGCCCCAGCTCTCTTCTCCAGAGACAGGGCAGGGATGGGTGGGAAACTCTCCTATGTGGAAGGGGAATCCATGGTGGAGAGGATCCTCACAACTTCTGCTCGCTGGGTGGGTGAGATGTGCTGGGTCATGTGGACGATGGAATCCATGGCAACTTCTGGATTGGCCTGTACCAAGCTGGAGAGAAGATTAGAGATGGTGAAGAAAAGATAGGTAAAGTGTCTTCACTGGGGCGCTTAAGGATTGCCTGACAGATCTGCTAGCAAGGGCAGCTGCACACAATGTACTCACCACCTCGTGAGTTTTCCTTTGTCCGAATGTCCCTAGCAGCTAAGGAGTAGTTTAAAATGAAATAGAAAACATTTTGCTATGTTAGAAAATAAGGAGTGATTAAAAAATAAACCCCAGCCAGGTCTTTAATCCCAGCACTTGGGCAGCAGAGGCAGGTGGATCACTGAGCGTTTGAGGCCAGCCTGGTCTACACAGAAAAACCCTGTCGTAAAAAACCTAATAAACAAACCCCCAAAGCAAAAACAATGGGGACACACTGACGATGGCACCTGCATGAAGGGCCCTTCCTAGACAGATACGCACTTATTTTGATGCCAAATGTCCCAGAAATAAGCTATAAAATAATGGAAGTAGGAATTTCCTAGTCCATATGAATAATGTAAGAATGTATCAGGGAAGACAGGAACTCTTGTTTACAGAGTTTGGGTGAGGACATAATTTCGGAAGCAAGAGTACAGATCATGGTAAAGACTCTTCAGGCAAGATATCCCTGGATGTTCAGTCTAGAGAGATGTACTGATGGGAAGTAAGATGGCTTCTTTGGCCTGCAAGTGTCTCCCACAGATTGGTTAGTGAGTAGCAGGGCAAAGGGGGTGACGATCAGTAACTACACAGTGGGGGAATCCAGGAACAGCTTGGCTAGGTGAGAGAATTAACACCTGGGGGCAGATGAACGTTGGGTGCCTTTCAGTGGGTCCTCTGTGATGGCCAGAATATCACGTGTGATGACGTGGCCATAATGCAGAACTCAAATTGAACCACAAAGAAGCATTAGACAATCTAAAAATAAGTGTTCTACAAGTGGAAGAGGGGCACAACACTGCTGGGGATACCAGAGTACTCTAGCACTGAGCCCATGCTCATAGGGAAAACTCTCCCTAAAGTTGATGGTTTTACTTGTAGCCACATAGGGGAACTTCTGTCCTTAGAGGGTTGGCACACAATGTCAACAAGGTAAACATTTAAACATCAGGTGAATTACCAGCACTAGCATCTATTTTGCAGCTTTTCCCTAAGCAATATATTTCCAAATAGTTGTATGGACATCTCCCAAGGAGATAATCAGTTTCCTTCCTTTCAGAACCATCTACTTGGTTTGAATATCTGTACCTACAGAGAATGCATGGGTGAAAGTGCCTGCCTGGAGTCAGCTGGGAGAGAACTGTGTCTCAGGGCTATATCTGCACCTGTTAGTCAACTATAGCAGTTTGGAACAGGGGGCCCACAGGGATCAGGGCAGCATTATCTCACAGTTTATTATATATATATACACGTCTCACCTGCGGATCTGCTTGAGGACATAGTCCCTGCTGATGTATTTGATGTTCTCTTCTATCACTGATCGGACACCATCTTCCTCCGTCAGTTGTTTCTCTAGCCACTCCACCAGGTCCTTATTATTGTCCCAAACATAAGCCTGCAAACAATCAAGTCTTGGTCAAATGCCAGGGGCAAGGTGTGAACACCTGATTGTCCAGTATCTCAAAAACTTTCTTGGCATAAAAACATTGTTGACAATTCTCCTTTGCTGTTCAGGTTAGAGGAGGAGGGGACAGGTTCCCAGCCGGGAGCTGCCTTCATCTCTCTTCCTTCCTTTGATCTTCAGACATTCCCATGGGAGTCTGTCCTATGAGCCTCTGGCACCTACTTACTGTTCCATGACAGTCAGTCAGTGAGGAGCAGGGTACTTAAGAGTGTGACTAGAAAGGAATGGTGTACGTGGCTGTTTCTTTTTTGGAGGAGCTGGGACACTGATCCTGAAGTGCAATTCCAACAAGATGTGGCAGGGAGGCTCTGAGCAGTGCCTTAGCCCTCTAGCTGGGGAAGCCTCCTGTGGCTTTTTTTTTTTTTTTTTTTCCCTAAAGCAGAGTTTCTCTGTGTAGTTTGGTAGCCGAGGCTGGCCTCAAACTCAGAGATCTGCTTGCCTCTGCCTCCAGGGTGCTGGGATTAAAGGCTGTGTCACCACTGCCTGTCTTGGAACATTCCTTTTAAGGACACATGGGAGCAAGGTTTAGAGGCAACAAACAATACAACATGGATACTGATATGGAGGAAGTCTTGTTGCTACAGTATTGCCACCAAGACAGAAACCCACCCCACTTTATTAGCTATGAGAGCACTGTAGAGGGTCAAGAAGTCTGTAGCCCTGAGAGTCTCGACAGCCCACCTCTTGCCTCCTTTTTTTCAAGATCATTTAGCTGAGTATTTCTGAGGCAGCTGACTACATAATAATTCAGGAGTGTGTTAGAAGCCTAATAGCCTTCTCCTTGCTCTCTTCTCTCATTTCTTTACAAATCATTTAGGAATCGTTTTGTTAATGGTTTCCGGAAAACCAAGTACCACCATTAGGGCTCATTCATATTTATGTCATTTTGTTTGGGTAATTAAACACAAAGCTCGTCATTTAAAGGTGCGCTATCCTTTTCTGTTATCACTAACGAAGTCAAAGTCAGAATGACAATGAGTTTGCCGCTTTAATTTAATAGGTGGGCACTGTAGGGACTCTGAGGCTTGTGTGTGGCTTCAGGAAATCTAGATACAAGCAATGGCACAAAAGCCACAGCTGTAACCTCAGGGCTTGCACAGTGTGGAGTGAACATTCACAAGAGAAGCATCAGGAAAGTGGGCTGTCTTCTAACAGATTTTATGCTTTAAAAATTGCCATTTATTGCAAGGTGTGGTGGCTTACACTTTTCATCTTTGCACCTGTAAGGCTGAGGCAAGAGAATGGGGAGTTCAAGGCCAGCCTGGGCTACACTAAGTTATGGACTAGACAAGGGTATAGAGTGAGACCCTATCAGACTCCCTTCTTCCCCTGACTTGGCTGGCTGTGACTACCCGTTTACTATGCTGGACCACAGGTTCCCGGGACTAAAGGTCAGTAGGTAGCCTTTGCTAGTAGTCTGTCTACCTCCTTTCCTGGCTCCAGAATTGCCCACCTTGGGCATCTCTGACAGAGAGATCAGTTCTCCCTCACAGAACAAGCTGGGAACTACCCACCTCCATGTTTCACTTGGGAGTCACTCCTGTCTGAGGGTCTGCACAGGGAAGCACTTTTGCTCCTCAGGAAAGCTGCAGCAGGCCCTGCTGACAATGAAGTAACTTGCTCATGTGGTCCAGTTTCTAGCTGGACCCCAGATGAATGAACACACCTCAACTCCAGCCACTATATAAAGTGGCCATTTCCACTGTTGGTGATTAAGAGTTCTCTGTGGCTGGAGGACTCCACAGCTTCCCCAACTTAGGAGGATTTGGTGGAGAGAGGTGCAAAAATAAAAACAATGGTGGTTTCTTGAGCTTCAGAAGGAAACCAAACAAAACCCAACTAGATTCACTCATGAGTCCCAAAGCCTTTAGTTTAGGAGAATATTTAATACTCTTATTAATCATTTTTAATCCGTTTGCTTTTAATTAAGAAACAGCATGATGCTTTGCTATCAACATATGCCAGGGAGCAGATTAATTGTGGCTTAAGATAACTCTCCTTGATTGGTGTAATGTATTAGCTAACGAGATGCCGGCTTCTAACAATGCTCACACACTACACTGGAGAAAGGCAGTTACCCTCTAGAGTAAATGCTCCTGCCTTCCCCTCCTGCAGCCACAAACTACAGTAGGTGTTTAAACATTTAAAACAGTTCCCAGGCAGAACGACAGTAACACATTCCAAGTTTTTAGATGCTTAAAAATATGGACCCTGCATATGAAACATGCTGTTTATTCAGAACACCACTGGATGACACCACCAAGCCTGAAGCCCACAGTACATGAAGACAAAGGACTTTGGGTTCTAACCAACTACATTTTAGCAAAAAGAAACTTTTGTACACATAGTGTTATGCTTTCTCTCAATCTGTCCAGGAAGGCTTACCATGCTCTGAGCTATTCTCTTCCACTCAGGAAAAGCAGGCTGCCTTCTGGGACAGTCACAAGACTCACCATTCCAGCCATGGGGAGGGCAGTTGCAAGGGGGAAAGCCATTATCAACTTTCTTCCTTAGAATTATAAAAATGTAGCTATCTACCTTCCTAGGATTCCAGAGTGGATTTTAAACAAGTGTGAAATGCTGGGCTACTAGCCCCATGACAGCCCTGGGCCCATGTCACCTGCTTGATATCCCAGCCAGAACATCTTAATATCAATAAAATATCAACAATTAAACAATCACAACACTGGATTGTCTTACAATACATGTTCACCAGACACTCTCTCTTTCTGCATCAATGATAAGTATCTCAGGCACCACTCAGCCTCACTAATTATATGTAATCATTAGTCTAGCTTACAAAATCTAAATGACCTGTTTGAAAAGGTTCAATTCTAATGTGCTGGACAGCTGTTAAGCTCCCCTCTAAGCAATGGTGGTATAGGGCCAGGGAGTGACTAGGGCACAACCTAGTGGCCATGAGCCCTGACTACCACACCTACAAATGTCTTCACCATGTGGTAAGGAACCATCTGACCTGGTGTGTTATAGAGGGGTTTGAGGATGGTGAGGGTAGACATACACATCTTAGAAAGGAAGATTGCTTTCAATACATCTATGTTTCTAAGGTTATGACCTTCCAAAGCCCAAGATGCAATGTGGTTCTTTCAGAGTCTTCAGAGCATAACACCAAAAGACCATGTGAACAGTGGCATGCTAGATTCCATGGCTGGGCCAAGCAATTCTTGCATATTTTCCCCTTACCTCACCCCTCCTGATTCACTGGCCATCTGTGGATAGCTTGAGGCAGTGGAGACCTCATCCACAGTGCTCTTCCTCTCTGATCCTCATTCCATTTGGAAATCCAGAACAGAGGAAGTGGATAACTGAACAATTAGAATGAATTGGGGCACTAAGCCCTGGAAACACTAGTGAGTCAGTTCACCTAATCTCATGCTTTGATTTTGCTTATGCACTCTCCTCTCCCGCCCACCCCCTTGGGTCTCACCATGTATTTCTGGCTAACCTGAACTCCCAGAGATCACATTCTCAAGTTCTTGGATTAAAGGAATGCTCCACCATGCCTGGCTGCTATTTATCATATAACAATCTTTTTTTTTTAAGATTTATTTATTATGTATACAGTGTTCTGTCTGCATGTATGCCTGCAGGCTAGAAGAGGACACCAGGTCTCATTGCAGATGGTTGTGAGCCACCATGTGGTTGCTGGGAATTGAACTCAGGACCTCTGGAAGAACAGACAATGCTCTTAACCACTGAGCCATCTCTCCAGCCCTCATATAACAATCTTTACCGTTGACATTTAAACCCACCGAATCCTGTAACACCATAAACATCACTCCCATTTTATACACGAGGGAATGGAGGCTCAAATAATGTGTCTAAGAAAACAGATACAAAGCTGAGAACCTCTTTTTGTGTGAGTTTGTGAGATCCCAAAAACCCACATTTCTTTTTTTCAGTGTTCCATGCAAAGTCTTTTTGTGTTTGTTTTTTGAGGCACAGTTTCTCTGTGTAGCCCTGACTGTCCTGGACCTCACTCTGTAGACCAAGCAGACCTGGAGTGCTAGGATTATAGGTGTGCACAACCATGGCCTGGCTCCATGTAGCGTCTTTAATTGTGGTGTCTCCTCTCAGAGTTTTAGGCAGAGAACCAATCAGCCTGTTAGGAAGACTGCATACTTCAAATTGTGGAGCTAGAAATCAAGATAGAAACCATCCCTATAAAGCAGGCATGTGCCATGTTTGCATAACCAAATTCAATCCACAGCTCTTGGAACTTTTTCCTCAGGGAGCTGGAGTGATGCTGCTGCTTTTGCCCACAGTGAAACTATGAGCCATAACCCTACTACTCTTCCTACAACAGGACTGCCCAGTGGATCCAAGTGCAATCCTAGAACTCATGGGATGGAGGTCTCTAAGGGGAACAGAAGATTCATATTGCTCAATTTCCCATCTTAAAATCTTTTTCCAGGATCAGGAAAATGAGATCCCTGAGGGGGAGGGGGACCAATATTGAGCATGGCTAATAAATGTTTGTCCCTACATGACTTCTTTAGCAATAACTACAGCAAAGATCTTTGTACTCACAAAGACTCTACTAGTCTTTGCAGTTGAGGGAAACAACACTTGAAATCTGTCACTATTTGAAGACCCCGCCACCATACACAGAATGTTTTCAGCCATTTCTTAACATCAGGCAGCTTCTACAGCAGCCCTTCAGAGGCAACTACACCTTGAACACTGCAGCACTTTCTCCTCTCAAGGACACTGCTGATTTTATCACATATCCCACACTCAGGTCCTGCTGAGCCTGCAGAACGTGGCAGGAGGTTTCAAAGCCACATGTCCTGACTTCACAGGATCACTTGTCCTTCCTTTCTCTTCTCCCTGTCCCCTGGGATGAGAGCTCATGGGAAAGGCCTGTGTTCTGTAAACATAGGCAAGGGAAATAGTATCAACTGTTGGGGATCCCTGGTATTCAGTGCACAGACAGCTTCTTCCTGAGCCTTCTGCACATACAGCTCCCCACTGGTGAGAGATACCAATGGCTTGTTTCTTTAGACACACTGCCCCCTGGGAGGATGCCACTAGGGAGCAAGTGAGGGGACCTATCTATTCACTTCATGCTTGGAGGGAAGCTATTCCTTCTCCTCATCCTTGTGCCCACCGAGGCTGTGCACGTCCATTAGTGACTAATGTGGTAGGGAGGCGTACGGGCCACACACACACACTCCATTTACCTAGCCGACCACTCTTAACTGGAGAACAACCTCTTATTTTACACTTGCATGACTTTCAATGCCAACTTCCACTAGAAGCTGCCAGTAGCCACTGACAAAATTGTCTCACTCAATTATGATGCCACAGATTGACCTTAACCTCAACCAAATGCTAGAGAATGTCCCACTCCCCTGCTGCACATCTGAAATATTTATCCAAGCAGCTTCCCAGTCATAAAGAAACAGGCAGACTTAACACAAAGGTGAGTCTCAGAACACTCTGCATCACCGGCTTTAAAACTGATGGTGAGCTTTAGAGCTCCTTGATGAGAAGAGTTGTTAGCAAAGACTCCAGGTAGCATTTTGCAGGAGACTGGAGTGACCCTCTGAAGGACAAGGCACTTCATGCCACCACCAACCAGCCATTCCCCATCAACATCTGACAGTCAAAGATTTTTGATTACACAGGTAATATATTACAAACTATATCTGTTTAATATAGCCTGATTGAGATAGGACCAGCAAGATGGCTCAGCAGTTAAAAGCACCTGCTGTCAAGTGCGAAGTCCTGAGTTTGATCCCAGGAACCCACATGGTAGAAGAAGAGAACCAATTCCTTCAAGTTGTCCTATGATGTCTACATGTAAACTGTGGCATGCTTGGGCTCACATACAAAATAAATGTTTAAGAAAATGTATATAGTAGCTACTAAGAAAGGTTAATCTTTCTATTGGGCAATTAATTCAGGGCTGCACACATGCCATACAAGTAAGTGTTCCTTCCCTGAGCCACCCACACCTGCTCCTAGTTTTTCTTAATAAAAAGGTTGCAGCTTTTCCTTCCCTGTTCCCTGTGGACTGTTTTGAGAAATCCAGGGGGTGACTGCTGACCTCAGACCTGCCCTGCCTGTAATTCTAAGGCAAGAGCACTGGGAATACTGTCTTGATAGGGCCACTGCCATAAGGCATGAGTTCCTTCCATGAGATCACCCTAAGACCATGCCGGATGCATTCCCACGTGCGGGCCAGGCATTTCCTTCCAGTTCAGATGTAAAACTAAAGCTACAGTCTTAGCATCGTGTGTGTAACCAATATGTTTACTAGGTTTCCTGAGGAGTGTAACTTGGCTACTTACAACCCCTCAGCATTTTCCAGACCGTGCAGACTCCTCTGTAGCTTATGCAGTTGGGATTCCACCTGGTCATCTCCCTGGGCACCCACTCTCTGAGCCATCCTGCTGCCGTTACTAGCCTACCTTGGAACATATAATTGCTGGAACGTTCTTTCTACCCCTGCCCCACCAACCCAACTTTTTCTTCTGGTTTATTAAGTCTCTGTTGAGACATCCCTTCCTCAAGAAATCTCACTCTTCCTTCCTCAAAACTGGGTGTCTACTCTGTGCAATGTGACTATGCTCTCTGTTGGGTTTAATGCCAGCCTTGCTGCTGTGTAGGACAAGACAAACTCTCTGTGGGCAGGATACTCTCACCGGTAAGCCCCCATATTCTAGCTCAGTGTGTGGCATCTTGTAAGTTCAAAATGGTTTGCTGAATGCTCCCTGAGCTGCAGGCAGGCCTTTCTAGCTTTTCTAACATGATGTTATAGAATATTACTTGGCTGTAATGTGGCATAATAGGAGAGGGTTTGGGCTTTAGGTTCCTTGTATTTCCTTCCCCTAAAGGCCTGAAGATTCCTCTTTTTTTAAATGGTCCCCCCCCCCCCCAAGACAGGGTTTCTCTGTGTAATAGTCCTAGCTAAACTGGAACTCACTTTGCAGACTAGGCGGCCTCTATCTCCCAAGTGCTGGGATTAAAGGGATGCACCACCATCGCCTGGCAGGTCTTAAGATTCTTAGCTGATAACCCTGTAACTCTCATGGTCATCTGTACAGCATGAAAGCTTGTTAGTAGGTGCTTCACCTACCTTCACTGTGCCTTCCACTTCTACAAACCAGCGTCTTAACATAGCCTGGATCTGCCCATCAGTCAGCTCAGGGTTGGCATTGTGGATTTTTTTCTTTACCAGGTCCTCCAGCAGGAGACGCCTCAGCCGCCAGTAGAAGAAGCTACGGGATGTTTTCCAGTCTAAGATGTCCTAGACTCACAGAAGAACATAGAGGAATTAGTGTGGCTACTCTAGCACTAGCACTAAATCTGAAGGAACCCAGGGGCATAAAAAGACACTCTCCAGGAAAGGCCTTTAGAGAACCCAAAGCTAGCCTAAACTTTCCGCATGTCCAGTACAACCCCCACAAACCACACAACACTGTGCACAGCCAGTAGCCTGGCAAATGCTACCCCACATACGACTGTAGTTCTGAGGAAGCGACTGAGCTCCCAGAGAACTAGAAAGGGAAGAATCTGTTCTGAGCAGACAGCTCAACTTTCTTCAGATCAAAGGTGAGTTAGCTGTCACCATTGTAGCCTTGACATTGTAGTAATTTAGTCTGAGGATCATCTGGATTGCTATTCACCAGTGATGGTACACATGACTTAGTTACCTACCAATAATACAGAGCTTGCCTGAGGATTCCATGGAAACCTAAATCATTTTGTTTTAGATGTCAGTGGATACAGAAAAGGGGAAAGATCTCTTAAATAAAAAACTGGAAATGGATTGATCTGCATGAGCTATGCTGATCTGGCCCTAGAAGCTCCCTGCTTGTGGGCCTATGTCACTTGCAGGACTCTGATAAGTCAGAAATGGCAACTGTGGTACTTACGTTAATAACACCCTTCTCCTGCATCCGGCCTGGTGTGTCGTGCAAGTCAGCAAACTGCACAGCTACCTGATGGTAAATGGGTATTAGGAACTCCTCCCGTTCCTTCAACTTGTTCTCCAGCTCCTTCCGCTCAATGGGGCTTAGCTCTGGGGTGCCTGCAATTACATAAACCTGCCTGTCACACACATAAACCTGATACCTGCAGGTATCAAGAATCTTGGCACAGATGCAGTCACAGTCCTCCCCTCTAGTGCCTGGCTTTCCACTGTGTTACTCTTTGCTACATAACAGACTCTATGAGAGAGTGCTCCTGTCCTTACTTTGTCACAGAGAGCTCACGTGTCTTCTTTTCCCTACAGAGGTCACACATATAAAAGTAGTGGTGGCAATCCTGCTCTCCAGGTCTCAATTAAACAGGTCAAGTGGTCACCTGAAGGTCTGTACCTCTCTCATCAGTTCACTGCCCAATAGCAAGGCTCCTCTATCCCTGTAAATCAAGACTGGTACATGGCCACCTTGCCCATCATTACTAACCAGCATTAGAGTAGTTGGACTAGTCCAAGTATAGGATTTTGTAAGAGAGCTTCCCCTTAGACAACAGCACAGACCAGCAGCTCTGGTTTTACCAAGTCCTCAACAGGTGCCTGGGAAACTGCTAAGGACTAGAATCACCCCTGAGTTGCAAGCTGTTGTATCCCTTAGCTTCTAATGTCAGATTTGATATTCTTAACCTCAAAGTAGTACAATCAATCAGGTAGAACCAGATCCATGTGTATCTCACATCAGTTTGATGGATTATCCCCTGGTCTCCCAATCCCTGGCCAGGTGACAAAACTTCTAGGTCCTGGGCTAAGAGGGGAGGAAAGAGAAGAAAAGAGCAGACCCTGTGTGGATTGCTAAGTGTGGAACACACAGTACCTTCACCTAGTCAAAGATGATGCTCTTATAACAAGGAATACCATCCCCATCTACTGGGTTTTAGTAGAGGTGTTGCTATGTTGCACTTCCCTTCCTAATTACTTTCAGAGTGGGGTCTGCAATCAATACTGAAAATTTATCTGCCTGCCCAGCAAGGACAAGTACAACTGGCTGAAGGAACAATAGGTGAAGTCCTGGTGGGATGCAGCAGAGAAAGGTCTGTTTCAAGCCTGGGAACAGGCCTTGTTTTTTATTCCACTATGAATCATATGCTATAAATGGTCTTGGGCTGCTGAGTGAACCATAAGTGTCACACATAAGCACATATTAACTGAGCAGGGATGGAACTCTAGCACTTAGTTTCATTTTATGTGACTTTCTGGATGCTCAGTTCTACCTGTCCATTTTAAAACTGAGAAGGAGCCACTGACCCAATGCCTCAGGTTGTATTCTTCTTAGCACCCTTTCAGGTAAGCAAGCGCAGACACCAAGAGCTTGTGTGACTCATCAAGGCCACAGGACAAGAGAGTGATAGCTAGGAGTGGGGTAGCACCACCCTGGAGTTTTCGGGCAGTGTCACACTGCCTTTCTTAATGCACAAGACTGGCCCTTCAGCAGAAGGCTAAGTCACATGGAAGCCATCTTAGTCCTTTGTGTAGCTAAGACCAGAACAATGCCTGCCATATTCTCAGCAGTGCCAAAATTTAAAAGAGCTTCTCCTATTGCTATGAGGTTGAGGATCCAAAAACGCTGGGGAACAAGGGGATGGCAGGACTGTGAAGAGAGTTCAAGAGGGAACTCCAAACCCTTCCAGATTCTTCTGGGTAAACAACTGACATTGTACTTCAACGCACATGTACATCTATGTGGGCCATATATAATACACCATTTATTGTGTGTCAGGCACTGCTCTCGAGTCTTTCAGGATCATATACCTCATAAGTCAACACACACATATGATTCTGACCTAGGGCAGGACAGCTGTTAACCCTGCTGCTAAACTGAATACTTCAGTGCTGCCGAGCATTTTCCAGGTCGCTTCACATACATTATCTCTGATCTTTATACCACCTTATAGACAAAGTATCCAATTTATAAACCAGAAAAAAAGAGGTAAAATGGTACCTAGATGCTCGAAGTAACACAGTCAGGATTTACACCTGGGTCTGGCTACCCCCAAAGTCTGTGCTTGTCCTCATAAATGGTACTGAAAGTGGTCAAGCAGATCTCTTGACAGTAGCTGGAGTGTTGGTTCCTTGTGTTTACAAAGTTAAGAGCAGCCTCTACGTTTGAACGAAGAGGAACTACAGGCTGAGGAGAGCCTTCTAGAGACAAGGCGTTGGTTTTAATGTAATGGAGGAACAGGCCAATTGTGCTAGTCTAGAGTTTCAAAGGAATGATGAAATAAATACAACAGTGCTCTTGTCTTCTCGGGAGTCAGAAAATGAAGTAGTGTTCCCTAAAGGCCACCACAGAAAAGAAAGAGGGCAAGGAGAAGTGTTGAAAGTCTTAGGCATGTAAGAAAGCCCAGAGTCTGTGTGCTTTGTTTTGTGAAAAAGTGTCTTTAAATCTTTTATGTCTTAGGAGCAGAAGGCTGCTCTCAAGTGGGTGCTACCCTGGTGTTGTATACCAGGGCCCCGCTCCCCTCTACAGCACAGCAGCCAGCCCTGGTAATGATTTAGGGGAGATTAACAAATATGTCAATGTCTATTTTCTGCTTAATTTAAAAGCAGCGTCTATAAAGATTTTTGACTTCTGAACCCTGTTCTTCTGAAAGAAAGAAGGTAAGAATGAGGAGGGGATAGAGAGTGATTATCCTATCATTGATCGTTTGTCAGGAGCATTTCTTATTCACTGGACTATTGTAAAAAGCTAAGCTCACGATCAATCCTGTAAGCTCCCTGTACAATTAAATATCTTGGAATGGGTTTCTTTCTTTTCTAGCCAGATTGCAGGGCCTCAGGGTTTTTAGGAAAGCATGTGTGTGTGTGTGTGTGTGTGTGTGTGTGTGTGTGTGTGTGTGTGTGTGTAAGAATATGCTCTACAGAGAATAGCCATTCTTTTCTAGAGTCCCACCTTAGGCAAAGGCTGAAATAGGAGAAAGGTACACAGTTCCTATCCCTTCACAAAATCAAAAGTTCCCATGAAAACCTAAAAAAACCAGATCTTATGATTCAAAAATCAACAGAAGAGTTAAAGCACAGATGAGGCATCACTAGCCTAATCAAGTGTGAAGAGCTAATATCACTGAGATGCTATGAAGCTTCCATTTATCTAACACATCAGACCTGAAAGGTCATGACCTCAAAGATGAGTAGACTAAGGGGCAAGTAACTTGCCAGGTGCTGCAGAGCCAGGAAAACAAAGCTGGGCTTGTGGCCTACAGAGTCTATCCACAGTCCCAGATCTTTATTAATTCTTTTAGTTTTGTTTTATGTGGATTAATGCTTCATGTGTATGTGTGTGCACCACGTGTGGGCCTCGTGTCTGCAGGGGTCAGAGGTGGTATCAGGTCCTCTGGAACTGGAGTTGCAGATGTTGTGAGCTGCCATGTGGGTGTGGGAATCAAACACTGGTCCTCTGGAAGAGCAACAAGTGCTGCACTCTCTCTCTAGCTACAAGTTCTGGGTCTTTAAAACAGCTTAACCTGATCTAGATGTGTCCTAGGCCAGCAGCCAGTCAGGCATACCCTGAAACCAGGACAAACAGTAACACAGAGGAACAGCTGGCTTCTACAGCAGTTGTTTAACACAGAAAGAAGGTGGCAGGAAAGGGCCAGTCCTATCCCAGGTCCTAGCAGACACAGCCCAGGGAGGAGGATCTGGGGGGGAGGGGGCGAGGGGCTGAGATTTTTAAAGCCTAGAATAATGACCCTCAGAGGTGCACCCCTTGTCTATGCTTGGCTTCTTATTTAAATCCTTATCTGGGGAATGGGGATAAAGTTTTATTTTTTTTAAAGTAATATTAAAATTTAAATTTTTAAAAAAAATTTAATTTATTTATATCTTATGTGTGAGTGCTCTGCATGTATACTTGCATGCCAGAAGAGGGCATCAGATTCTATTATAGGTGGTTGTGAGCCACCATGTGTTTACTGGGAATTGAACTGAGGACCTCCAGAAGAGCAGCCAGTGCTCTTAACTGCAGAACCATCTTTCTAGTCCAATATTAAAGTTTTTAAAAACAAAAACATTTCATTTCTTATAAGGGTGTTATGTAAATTTAAACCTAACTTGTTTGTTTGTTTTGAGACAGGGTTTCTCTGTGTACCTTTGGAGCCTATATGTGGATCAGGCTGCATTTGGATCCACAGAGATCCGCCTGCCTCCTAAGTGCTGGGATTAAAGGCAAGTGCCACCACTGCCCGGCTTAAGCTAACATTTAACTTTTAATTTGTAATTTAAATCTAAGCCTAATTTTAACTTTTATAGGGTCTTCTCCATTCTCTTAAAAAAGTAGTTGATTTGATTGGTTAAATGGAAATATACAAGAGATAAGAGCTGGATTACCCTCCCTCCAAGGCTCCTGAACACCAGATATTAAACCTTGATACTGAAAAGTCATAACAACCAAACTCGTCTTCAGGTTCAAAGGTACCAACACAAATAGCAGTTAAAAGAACTATGCAATCATGTTTTCTATGTTGGAAAAAAGTCTTCTATGGAGATAGTAAGGAAAATCATATAAAAGTATCTCTGTATTTCTTTATCCATTAACTGGAATACTTTAAAAACCCAAAACCCAAAACCACAAAAAACATTCTTGAGAAACTGTAAATCAGATCTTGTTTCAAGTGCCCCAAGGGAGCTATTTGGAAGAAACTTTGCAGTGAGCCCTTTGGTAAAGCAAAAAACCCTTCTGTGATGGGAATAATTTATCTCAATGCATCTAGGCTCCCCGTGCCCACAGTTCCATTTTCATATGTCTGCTTTCTTTTCAAAAGGGGCCATGTCTACCTTAACACAACTGCATTGCATATTGACTCCAAGTGCAATCTTCTCAAGGGAGGTCTACTCCTGAAGTTCCTTGCAGTGGTGTGAGTAATCTCTTGTTTGCATTTAAATAATCATTACAATTAATTCAGACTTCCAAATAAGAATAAAAATTGAATAACTCTCCCCCGAGTCCTACCCCTGCCCTCTTACAGATATGGCCACATGAGAAAGTGAGGAAACAACACAGAATTTTCCTGAATTCTGATAGAGATCCCTCTATAGCCTTTGTTATTTTCTCTCCTAATCTGTTCTCCCTAAATCTGACAGGTCAGGATACAGGGATCTGGGCCAATGAGAACAAGCAGGGAATAGGGCCTTGGACATATTCTAACAGTAGCTTTCTCTTTAGATGCCTGGGTTTACGTGAACAACCCCTGTCCCCAAAATCCCAATTGTGAATCATAGCTTTTTTGTGTGTGTGTGGGGAGGCAAGGCAGGTACTTCTATAAATATAATTGGATTTGGATCAAACTAATATTGCTCCCCCCCCACAAATGTCATGGCCTCACTAAATTACATCTAGCCACATAGATTGTGAATTAAAGTGAGGGGGTGGGTTTTTAGCTACTACCAACTTAAGGAAGAAGGCAAGATCCTCACTTAACCTTGATGATAGAAAGCTGTTTCTTCTCAGCCTTCTCACCACAAAGGTCACTCCATGCATTACAGGCGAGACACCACTTCCAAGGCATATATACTGGGGCATCTGTATTTCCTAGTCTCAACTTCCTAGGCAAAGATACCTTTTTCTGCCTCAGACAAGCAATATTGGCTCTTTCTAGTTGAAGAGATGGAAAGACATACACATTTTTTATAATAACACCTAAATCTCCATCACCCAAGATAATCCTTTTTAGGTCATTTTTGCTGATAAAGAGGTAGCTTTGAAGAAAGGCATTCTGGAAGTTTTTCATGCATATCCTCAACTGCCACAAATCTCCAACTGCACCAGATACCTCAGGTCATTAGGCATGTTGGATGCTAGTTAGGCCCGAAAGATCAGGCCAGGAGGTCCTGAACATGTCAGCCATCAGGGCAGTTTTGTATGGGTAGAACTACGGAGCTACATCGCAGGATGCCTAGCTGTTTGGGAACGGGGCCATGATAGAGAACAAGGGTCCCCTACATAAGTCCTTTGCCCAGGTGCTTGCTGTACTGAGAGAGAAGGACAGTGGGAAACTAGTAATTGCTTTGCACTTGGCTAGATAGTTGTTTCTCCATCTAAATTGATTTGTCATTTCTCTCTGCAAGTAAAGAGCAGGGTAAATAAAGATCTATGGGAAAACCTTGGCTCACAGCATAGCAGAGGCCAGGCTAGCACTGCACTCCTGCTCCCAAGTCATTCTCTTGCTCTGGTTCTGAGAGGCAGCATAAGAGAAACAGAAAGGCCTTGGAGGACTGGGACTCTGTTTCCAGGGAAGGAGTTTGATTTCCTTAAGCCCAGAATGGTGCAATGTAACCCTCCCTTGGAAGTCTCTACCAAGGCCGGCATCTGAGAACACAAGGTCAGAACTGGTTCAGCAATAGGGCATTCTGCTATCTGAACTTTGTTCACTTATTTTTAAGGACAATTATTTTATTTCAAACAGGAATCAACATTTGCTGTTATTACTGTAGATCTGCAAACTTCTTATCCAAACCAGTCACAGAAAACGGTAAAAACTCATTTAATAAAATATAGACTCCTAGACTGGCAGTGGTGGTACACACCTTTAATCCCAGCACTAAGGAGACAGACGCAGGAGGATCTTTGTGAGTTTGAGGCCAGCCTGGTCTACAGAGTGAGTTCCAGGACAGCCAGGGCTACACAGAGAAACCCTGTCTCGAAAAATTAAAAAGAAAAGAAAGGAAAAGAAAAAGGAAACTCCTGATTTCATTCCTTAGTCTCTTATTTGATATATCTATCAAAGAGTTTGGAAGAGATGAAGTTAACTGTTCAGAAATTATTATTGCTCTCCTTGGAGAAGGAATTGTGATTCTGTGCAGTCAATCAGTCGACACTGGTTAGTCCGGGTGCTCTGAGAGTGCTCCCTAGTACAGAGGCTGACTGGGAAGGAGATCAAAAACACAAGATAACACCCACTCCCATAGGCTTTCTCCTAAATCAGATTTCCTCTGTGCTGCTGGTTTTAGCTCACAAAGGGAAAGAATCCCTGTTTGATTTAGACCAGGCTCAGTATTTTAGCTTAGGGATTGAGAATTCTATTCTGTGCTCTCACGTTGGAAGAGTTGTTTAATCTTGATCCGGGGCCCCGCTTCAATTTCCCAATCTGGAAAATGAGGTCATTTTTCACTTATTTTGTAAAAGTTATTTTGGTAGTCTTTGGTTATGAGATTGTGAAAGAAGCCAGAAGACAGTGTAAACTCTCCCCACACTGGGTTTATATTATGTTGTAGTGCATGTTAAGTTATAACTGTATTTGAGCAGTCTCTGAAAAGCTGCAAATACCTATAAGTAACATATCTACACTCAGGCAACAATTTCTAGTTTACAACCACTCATTCCCAAGATGCCCCGAATCAGAGCTTGCTTTTATATTTAGCAAACTGCAGATTCATTCATTCATTCATCCACCCATCTACTCTCATCCACTCTTCCACTCTTTCTTCTTCTTCTTTTTTTTTTTTTTTGGTTTTTCAAGACAGGTTTCTCTGTGTAGCTCTGGCAGTCCTGAAACTCACTCTGAGACCAGGCTGTCATTGAACGCAGGGATCAACTTACCTCTGCCTCCCGAGTGTTGGGCATAGATTCTTTTTTGAGTGTCATTGTTTGGTCAAGGTTAAATAAATATGATTTTCTTCAGCATGGCTAGGAAATTGATAATGAGGTGATTCATAACAAATGATTAAATGGCCATCACTTGGGAATCTCCTCCCTCTTCCCTGCACACGCTTCTAAAGTTAAAGGTGCTAGATGAAGATGGGAGCAACACCACTTTCTGTGAGGAGGAGGCTGTGGTCCCACACCCTCACCACCCAGTCCTTCTGCAAACAGATGTGCAGAGGATCCTCTTACTACCATCCTGTTACTCAAAGGGATGATAACAGCCATTGGGGGGTTAAAAAGAGGCAGTGAACCCCCAGTTAATGAGTAGGAATTCAGCAGGCAGTGCAAGATAAATGGGGCTCTCTCTGCTTCTGCTAGAGTCAGCATGAACTGCGGCCCTGCGGCTTGTTTGTGGCAAATGGAGTGCGCGAAATATCAAAGGGCAGTGATCCAGAAGAAGACCGACTTTGACAAATTTTAAATTGGCCAGAAAGAAAACCAGGGAAAAAAAAAAGGAAAAAAAAATAAGAGAGAAAAAAAATAAATGAAAGAAAATTAGGCAATTCTTTGTGTCCTACAATTGTGGCGTTGCTGCCTTTGTACAGAATTATTGGTAAAACAGCAGTGACGATCACTGGATGCCGGGAGCAATTATGAGCCACCTAAGTGAGATGCTTATCAGTGGCTGTGTACAGTTGTAAGTAACTCGCTCTTGGGCTGCAGTCACTTTAATTAAAGTGTATGGGGTTGGTCAGAAGTAATTATCCTGTTTGGAAGAGAAGGGGGGGGGGGGACACCTCAACAAATCCAGCAGTAGCAGATTTCAGAACAACTTCTGCCAGTTTCCCTTTGTATGTGTGCTTTCTCCAGAAACTAACCAGGGTTAGTTTTTGGTTGCTGTTACCTGACAGCAAACAATGGGGGCACAAATGGATTATTGTAACTCAAGTCACCACTTTTGGCAAACAATCTGAGACAGGCTTCAACTGCTTAGACAAGGAGCCTCCACTCCTTGTGGAGGCACTCAAGAGCTTTTCTGATCCTACAATAGAATCCCCAAATAGAATTTTTAAACATAAATGAGTTAGCATCCTTCTGTTCTTACCATTCACTGGGTTGTACTACTTTTTAAACATAACCTCTCTATTTCTTTAGAAAAACAAAAACACAATAAAACAAAACAAAACAATCCTAAGCAATCTTTACTGACATATCAAGTGTTTTAAAAGTATCCAAAAGTCATTATAGGGCTCCCACAGTTTAGTTTTCTTCCAAGAGCTCTGAAAACAAATGAGCAACAGAGCACTGGCTGGATATACGGCGTGCAAATGCTGTGAGGGCTCAGACTGCTGAAGCCACTACTTGGAGGCATACAGTGCACAATCTTTACTTCCTTTTTCTACAGCTCAGGCTGACCCAGAACACTGTCTAGGTAGAGACTGGCTTTTGTATAATGTGATACTGACTCACAACCCCCAGAAATGAGACAGGCTATCCAAAGAGACTGTAGAAACAAGAAATATTTAAGTCACAGATATTCTCCACCTGATTAGCCTGCCTCCCAAAGCAACCTCTAGTTAATGATACTCTACAAGAACATCCCATTAAGTGGGTTATTTGCACTTTAAGGAAATCAGAAGAAAAATCATGTGACTTTCCTTTTTCAATGCCCACCTTCCCTCCTATCACACTATTTCATTCTACTAGGGTTCTTACCATATACAGGATAGTAAATAAAGATCATCATGAATTTGATCAAATGCTTCAGTGCCTCCTCCCCTGACCTATGAATGCACTCATTACAAATCAGCTGAATGGCTCATTGATTTGCCAGGAGGACAAGCAGACATACCCAATCGCTCAGCCAAGTGGATGTAGACTGGGTCTACCCGACGCATGGTTTTCACTAGATCCTTTTTGCGGAATTTGATTTCTACTGTCCCTTCTGGTTCCAGAACAGATCCCCTGGATGCAAGAAAGAAAACAAAACAGAGGACTTTAAAGGAAAGACACAGAATGAAGTCAGTTACAATTTGTGGACCAGGAAATAGCTTCATTACTGTTTTGGCCACCCACGGTTTCTAGAAGTTGCCCATGGGGAAAAAAGCAGGCACCTAAGATGTATCTAAGTGAGGTATGAGAAAGTCCTAGCATAAAGCAATTAAAATAATTCTCATTACCCCACCAGTAGATTTCCATCGAAAAGAGAGAATATGGATTCTACCACTGACAGCTGATGAAGGTGACAGGCATCATATTTTTGTTTTTCAGAAAAGTAAATAAAACAAACCCCAAAAGGTAGGCTCCTGGCAGAGGAACCACCTTCCGTTCTTGGGCTGCACATGTATGTAAGGGGGAGGTACTGTTGGTGATGACTGTCCTGTACCACAGCTGTTAATCTGCTCCTGAAACCAGACACACTGGGCCAGGCGGAGGGGCATTAGATATAGATTTCTCTCTTTTTAAAAATTTTAATTTATTTTATTCAATGTACAATTGGTGTGAGGGTGTCAGATCTCCTGGCACTGGAGTTATAGATAGTTTTGAGCTGCTATGTGGGTGCTGGGAGTTGAACCCGCATCCTGAGGAAAAACAGTCAAGTGCTCTCAACCACTGAACCATTCCTTCAGTCCAGATACATATTTCTTAATGGACTTAAAAAATTGTTTAGGGCATGGTTTCTTGTGTTAGAGTATCATTAATATTCACTATAAGAAACCGAGGCCTTTACTTTGCTAACTTCCATAGCACCAGACAGGATGCTTTACCTACCTCTCTGATCTGGTATAAGGGGATAGCTTAGGACTTAAAAATAATATACTTGTTGGTATAAAATGGCAATCTAGGAATTCAACAGTGAAACTATTGTACTTTCCTAAGCAGCCTTTGAAGTAGGAGTCTAAGATTTAGGGAAAGAGAAAGATGTGGGTATTCCAATAAAATGATGGCATGTAGTAAAGTATATGGACAATGATGTTGAAGTCCTCTGAAAAGGATTGTGAACACATTATGAGAGGGTGCTGGGCTTGATTTGTCTTATTTAGTTTCAAGAACTACCTTCTTACAGATGTGGGCTTCTTTGCAGTTTTTTTTTGGGGGGGGTTGCAAACATAGTTCTTCAGCATCTTAGAATACAGAGTAAAGCCTTGGGCTCCAAGAGAAGGGAGCAGCTTTGGTCTGGAGTCACAGTGTATGGGTTCTGTGGTACATATCAAGACTACTAAGTTTATTAACAGGAGACACAGTCTCAGAACAGCAAAGGCCACTACAAATTTATCTACAATTAATGGATTAAATCCTAGAATGGGGCTAGAGAGATTGCTCAGTGGTTAAGAGTGCTTGCTGCTCTTCCAGAGGAACTGATTTGATTCTTAGCATTCATGATGACTTACAACTATCTAAGTCCAACTCCAGGGATCTGACACCCTCTTCTGACCTTTATAGACAGCCCCCACACATGGCATACATTCACACAGACACATAAATAAAAACAAATCTTAAACACACAAACAACAACAGCCTCTAGAAGTCCTGATTATATTTGAGTCTTTTCTTCCTTTAAGCTCCTTTTGTCCTAAAAAGAGATACTTTGTGGTAAATGATGTGGAATGAAGACTGGAATGAGAAAACCTGACTCTAGCCTGGTTTCCTTCTCATGCCAGCATACACTATTTAGATAGCCGATTTTTCTCATCTTGGATAACTTTGGGAATGGAAAGATTCAAATGAAGTTGTCTTGGCTATAATTTTTCCTAGGGGTTAGGGAGACCAACAGCTGGAGGGCCCCCAGAAGCGTTGAATGTAATAAAGAAGGCATGATACCTGCTTTCTCTGTCAGCGTACATCTCCATGTGCCGAGGGTTGATGGTAGGATCGATCACAACCCAAGAACCACCCCGAAGCTCAGCCTGGGGAGGAATGTAAACCATAACAGGCTGGGAACATTCCCGCAAGCCATCCACAATGTAAGCGCCAAATTTGAGCACTTGGTCATACATATCTATGGAGAACAAGACAAATTAGAAACAATAAAACTTTTTATGTTATGAGACACACAGAAAACAGACTCTGATGGTACACTGTGTCTCTATGGGAGAAGTGACAGGACTGAGGGTTCCAGCCACCATGGGTCCTGTGGCCATCCCAAAGTCTACAGAGATTGGTGCCTCCACCTGTGCCTGACTCAATACTTCAGAGGAGCTTCAAAAGCACAAGACAGAAATGCAGTCATTCACAAGACACAGTATGCAAAGCCCACAATTAAATATCCATTTTATATCCTCCCTGCATTTCGGTATTCAGGTTTCATTTCACCACATTAATTCATACTTGCTCTACAAACGTTAAGTATTTTTCATGTCAATATGTGATCTCTCTCACTACATTAAGTTTTCTGAAGGAAGGAACTATTCTAGCTTTTTTCAATTCCTTTCATGAGTCTTAGCGTACAATGAGTTCTTAAAATATGCAGCTAATGGCAATGGGTCCTAAAAAAAAAATTCATCCTTAAAAAACTGGAGCCAGGAGTGTTAGGGCAACCTATAATCCCTGTACTTGGGAGGCCAAGGCAGGAGAATTGTGAGGCCAGCCTGGCCCACAGATCAGCCCAAGCAACTTCATGAGACCTTGTTTCAAAAATAAGATAAAAACTGTACTTTCATTCCTGCATACACAACGCCCTGCCCATTACCAAAACATACTCAGTGCTTAAAGTTGGTACTGAATGAGTGAACGAGCATACATACTTTTGAAAGAATATAAGAAAATATAATAATTGTAGCTTTAGAGGATATCAGTGAGAAGAAAAATTATGTATGCACAATCACATAAGAAATTTCACATGGCCACATGAAGAGCCAACCTTTGTATTCTGTTCGAGAATACTCTGTAGTCCCCCAAAGGCCAGGACCAGCTTGCAAAGATCCTTGGTGCATAAATGAGCGAGTCCTTGAGATCAGTCATTTCCCAGTGTTTTATGGGCTGCTTCCCATTTCCCAGCTCCCTAAAGTTTAAACACTACTAGTGTTAGGGTTCTGATTTCAGACATTTAATGAGTATTTCAGTGGAGCCACAAAGGATCCTTTCCAAACAACAAATGACAGGCTCAACCAGGTTCCAAGTTTCCTATCCAGACAGCATCTCAATTTGGAATAAATCAATTCTGAAAATCCAAGACAAAGAAGCATTTTCCAGGAAGTTAAGAGCAAACCAAATAGAAACTGCTTTCATTGTAGTTACGAGCAAATTAAACTGCCACCTTCTCCAGAGTAAAAACGGCTCTACATTCAGACCATCGGTGAGCACAGCTTACTTTGAGGCATGTGCCTTTGGCCATTGCTCTAACCTGCCTTATCTGTGAGGAGTTCAGAAATTCCAGGTTGCCCCAGGATACATTTCCTATTCTATGTGGAACGTATATGGTCATATACTCTGTATATATGATCAGAGTAAAGACATTTATTTCTTTGGGTAGAAAGCAAAGACCAAAAAAAATTTACTGCTAATTGCACAACTGCTGTATGAAGAGTGGGAATAAAGGACTTTAAGCGCTTTACGCTAATTCCATGCTTATGAAAATAATTGCTCAGTTCAAATTATTTTAACTAAATTAATTCTTTAGTGGATATTTCAACTAGTGCTACATAATAAAATAATTGTGTAATTAGCAGTACATTTTTCAGTACTGCCAAGAGAACAGTTTCAGAACAAGTAGCAGAAAGGAGCAGTCCTCTTGGTATGTGCACAGAGGAGAAACGGATAAAAGATGTAGATAAAAGATGAAAATAAACAGAAGATAGAACAAAAGTCATTTGACTTGGAAAAAATAATTTTACAGGTAAATGAAGACAGTTTCCAGCCACTTTACTCATTTTTGCTAAAAGTGTATTTATATAAAAATTTATCTCTGGTTTATCTGGTTAACAGAACAACTCTCCAAAGGTTATTCATTTAAGACTAAAAAGATACCACTTGACTTCACACTATATAGAATTGGGATAAAGCTAAGTGCAGATTTTTTATTGTTCTAAAAAGGACTTTGGTTTTTCCTTATCATCGGGGTAGATTACTGTATAACAGGAATCATGACTGTACACATACACACTAATGTATGTGCCCAGGTATAAATGCACAACATTAATAATCAGAATATTATCATTTTCCTATATCCATGTTATAGCTAGTAAAAAGGAAATTTAGTTAAGTAAGAATAAATGGCACAGATGACATTCAAATGCAGTTTTTCTTTTGATAGAGTTTCATTATGTAGCCAGGTTGGCCTTGAACTTACAATCCTCCTGTCTTTGCCTCCTGATTGCAGAGATTATGAGTATGCATTTCCATACCCAGCTTCAAACTTACAACTTTAAAGTTACTCATTCTTACTGCTAGGAGGGAGTGTGAGGCCTTCAAGGAATCTCTAACATCTAATGGCTGACTAAACTAAGACCAGAAAAGACTTGAGAGTCTGAACCTATCTAAATGTGGCCTGGATTTCCTCCATGTTCAGAGATGTCAGGAACTGCATTGACAGTACTAGCAGTTATGTGAAGGGCTTGGATCTGGCTGCCAAACAAATACCTTTAGGCACTAAAACTGATGTAGAAAAGGGACTTCAGGCTTCTTTAAAGCTGCCATGCTCAGAGCTCCATCTCCCCTGAAACACCAACAGACCCCATAACCCAACTGTCAAAACACACCCAAACAGGCTATTCAAATATAAACACAAAGCAAATTCTACAATTAAGATGCTAATACTAAATGGCAAGTTTCTCCAAACCAGGTATTTTGAAACAATGACCTGACAAACAAATGTCTGAAACCCCTTCATATTTAAGAAATATAGTAAAAATTTATCTAAGAATATCACGGAAGGGGAGATCTCCAAGGGTTTATGCTAGAGTCAGCTCAGGGAGATTTAAAGCCATGCATGTGCTTGTCATTCCCGGTGCCTGAGAAATGCAACTGGATGGGAAATGGAAATATTGATCCGTTCTTTACTGGAGAGGAAGTAGCTTTCTAGCACCATGGGAAAAAGTACATCTGCATGAATGGTGATCACACCCAGCACCCAGGTATCTACATCTCTGCCTGGGGCCCTCATTGTTACACAACCTAGATAAGTTGTGGCAGCCACATGCACCAAACAAGGGAGTGGGGTGTGGAAGTATTTCCGCAGTGCACCACACTCACAAACTGGAATGGATCTTATTGGCTTAGGCAAGATTATGTTAGGCACTGAGGTAAACATTAGGCATACACAGTGGCATACATGTAATGTCTCTCATGAGTTCATTATGGCTGTTGGACATTGTATTTCAACATCCAAGTAATCAGAGACTTTAAAATAGACTTTCATTCCAGTTAAAGTTTTCAATAAATGTGGTTTTTTATTGTTATTTATAACCTGTCCTAGGAAAAAATAATAAGTATAACACGAAAAGCCAACTGAGAGTGACCCTGTAGCACCAGCAGTGAGGCGGCTTAATATCACTGGGATTTGCATCCTATCAAGCTATTCACGCTGAGGCTGGGACCCTGGTGCTAATTTCTAGTAAATTTCACGCTTGATGTCTCCCTGTTGTGGGTCATTGCCGGTTCGTCTAAATAAACTGCTTCCAAATGGCTCTTCCATCTAAATATTCAGCCAGTTTTTATAATTTAATTTTGCATTATGCTGAATAGCCTTCCGGCCAGATAGAACTCATTGGAAAAAAGCACCAATACCATCTTGACAAGCTTTTATTTATTTATTTATATTTTTTACTGCTCGAATTAGACCTCCTAGGCCGACTAGTAAAGAGTTTTTTTCCCCCTCCACTAATGTCAATTTTCAGCATAGCAAGAGCTGTCTCTAATCTTTTCCTACTCATTACACACAATTTTGGAGTCATTTTACCCACAGTGCAGTCGGCTCCTGGCTGTGTGTTTGTGTGCACTGAGGGATGGCATAATTGTTTATTTTCCCTCCCTGCATAATCCCCAGCCAGTATTGAAACCAAAACTGCAAACATCTCCCCAAGGGATGTGAAGAATGACAAGAGTCTCTCAGTTTAGGTCCCTTTACATGAGATAATATGTGGGAAGCAGCCTGACCTGTATGTCCACAGGAGAGCCTGTTGTTCCCCTTCCTGCTTTCACACAGATCTCCATCTCCCCTATAGTCTATTTGTCTTATGTGATGTGTGAATGGATGCATCACACCAAAATTCAGAAGAAAGAACTTTTCCCTGGAATATATTAGGCCAATAACTCATTTCCAACCAGGGACAGGAAGGAGGGGATGGCAGTTATTATTTAATGAGCAGAGTTTAAGTTGAAGATGGTAAAGTTTGGAATGGAAGTAATACTAATTGTTAAACAGCACTATGAAGGTAGCTACCAATAAACTGAGGATTATAAGTATTTTACCACAAATAAAAAAAATAACTTTTTTTGATACAAGAAGTTACTATATAGAGCAAGCTAATTTTGAATTTGCCATAACGTTCAGAGAACAAACAAAAAAACCAAATATCATTTCTGAGCTCTAGCTATTTCTTCCTGTAATAACCACGGACATTTCCAAAGAAGGGGAAAATAGATAAGTGATAACATTCTTAGGATATCCAGGGATGTTCCAAGTTGATCGGTTCTGTTCCTGAACTCTGGTCAGCCAGAATACTCTGGAGAGAGAGAGATGAGCAGGCAGGATGTTCAGTGGTAAAAGGCACTCAGTCAGCAAATCTGGCAACAGTTAGATCTTGAACTCATGCAAATGACAGAACTGATTCCATAAAAACATTGTGGTATGCTGATATGTATATTCACCCCACCACACACACACACACACACACACACACACACACACACTTAAAAAAAAAAGAGGAGAGATGGAGCTACATTTTTTTGTTTGTTTGTTTGCTTGTTTTTCAAGACAGGTTTTCTCTGTATAACAGCCCTAGCAGTCTTGGAACTCGCTTTGTAGACTAGGCTGGCTTTGTACTCAAAGATCTACCTGCCTCTGCCACCTGAGTGCTCGGATTAAAGGCGTGCCCCACCACTACCTGGTGGATCTACATTCTTCTATCAGCTCAGTCATTTGTTTTTTTTTTTAAAGCTAGTCACTTAAAGAGATTTACTTATCCCAAGCCCCAATTCATGTAAAATGCAGACAACAATTTGACATGTCTCTCAGAGGTGCTTGTTGTGATTATAGAAGCAGACATGAAAGCAGTTAATATAGTTTCTAGTGCAAAGATTCATCAACTGTTCCACACCACATTGAGAACAGGGTCTTGCTGTGGCCTCAAACTTACATCAATCCTCCTGCCTTATCCTCCCAGGTGCCTTCAATGAACCTTCATTTTGTTCTTAATTTTTTTGGGCTTAGCAACAACTAAGGGACAGATGCCAAAACAGGCAGCAGAACTGAAGCTTTAGTACAAGTGGCAACTCTGACCTCTAGGTAAAAATAGGATAGGCAGGGTGACTCCCTGTCAGTGTGTCAAGAAGAGTGCATTGACTCCTTGAGGAAATAACTGTTTCTGACAAATCCTTGTCTTTTCAGAGATGGCTACTAAAGTTGCACATAAGGAATTAAGTAAAAGTGTGTAGCATTGACACTCCTTTTACCATGGTGTACAGAAGGGGCTGATGCTATGATTTGGCGAGTAAAGGGGCTTGCCATCACATCTTAACAACACAAGCTGGAATTCTAGGACCCAGACGATGGGAGAAGAGAACCAGTTCCCACAAGTTGTCCTCTGACCCACCCTCCCCACAACCAAATATAATAATAAAAAAATTAAAGTATGTAAGCAGGGCTGGAGGGAGAGCATTTATTTCTCTTGCATTGAACCTGGGTTTAGTTCCTAGAGTCCTTAAGTTGGCTTATAAGCATTTCTAAGTCCAGTTCCAGGGGATCTGACATCCTTTTCTGGCCTCTACAGGTATCAGGCATACGTGTGGTGTACATAAATACAAAATAGGCAAAATACCTAGACACATAAAAAAAATTTGTTTTAAAAAGTACATAAGCATTAAGCTGTATGTATAGTCAACGCCTTCTCCAGGAAAAGGGGCAAAAACAGTAACAACAGTTCTTCATTTTCCCAATGAGGCCTGGCAAGCGTATGTCATTGGCAAAAATTGTGACTACCTTTCACACATGGCTAGTAGCCTACAAGGGGGAACTATCACAGGCTGTTCCTCCCTCAGAAAGCAGAGGGGCCCCTGTTTGGAGCTTTGTGTAGGCTCTCTACGGAGAGCTCATTACTCCACATTTCTACGCTCTTAGCAATTTCAATCTCTCTGGCATGTCAGCTTCTTCCATTCCCCAGCCATCTATTCCCTTAGAATCCTGAGGTGAATGAGGAATGCACCCACCCACATATTCTCACAGGCTATAGGTGTAGATGCTGGCCTTTGCACAGCTGTGGGTGTCTATCCTTATATGAGATAATCCTGTTTGTCTCTCTCTGGACTGTCCACAGTGGCTCTGTTCATGGAGGATTTTTATTTAATGATGACACCGGCTGCCTAATCACTAAGAAATCCCCATGGCATGTACTAGAGCCTTTATACTAATGTTCTGATCTGCTGGAGCCACAGGCCTAGGGCTGTTGGTGGATTATAAAAGATACCACAAATTGCCACAAAGAGGGGCTGGAGAGATGGCTCAGAGGTTAAGAGCAGTGGCTGCCCTTCCAGAGGTCCTGAGTCCCAGCAACCACATGGTGGCTCACAACCATCTGTTATGAGATCTGGTGCCCTCTTCTGGTGTGCAGAACATTGTATACATAATAAATAAATAAAATCTTTACAAAAAAAATTGCCACAAAGAACAGCCAGTTTCTGGTATAGAATTTCTTCATTTTCTTCCAGTTACTGTTAATTTCAGAATACATCTTGGTCAATGACAGTGTTAGAGAGAGATGTGAATGAAGAACACGTAAGAGAACAGGGGTGGGAACCAGAGAAATACTACTTCCTAGGACTACCAAAATGGTCTAACATCTACCTATGGAAGCCGAATCTTCAACAGTAGCCCACCTATACAATACTAGCTTATTCTGTAATTTTTTGTGAAATTAGAAGACATATCTTTGTGGGTGGTGGTGGTGGTGGTATTTGAGACAGGGTTTCTCTGTGTAGTCCTGGCTGTCCTGGAACTTGATCTATAGACCAGGTTGGCCTCAAAATTGGGACTAAAAGCATGCGCCACCATCCGCAGCTTAGAAGACATATCTTATTGTTCTGGTATCTCAGAGGGAACTGTCAGGTCACAGGTGATGAGCTGTTGGCATACCCACCGGACCTCTATTAGACTCTGCCAACAACCCCCACTTCCGCCCCTCCCTAACAATCACTGACTCCCCTCGAGCCCAGGGCAGAGCAGTCACTTTCTTCCCAGCACACTAGTCACCTTTCATCCCACCAGAGAAGCCTCTCCAGTTGGCAAAGACCATTAGAGGTAGCCCTTCACGATTGAAGTCCTTGATAGCCTGATAGGTCTTAAATGCAGAGTCTGGGAACCAAACCTGGCCAGCCTGCTGGATTATCTGTTGGGGAAAGGCAAGGAAAAGCCATTTAACAACAGTTTGAAGAAGAACTTCCCCCCAATTGATCCAGCTGTTATTTATTAAAAATAGTAAATCCAAGATCAAACCAACTAAATTAGAAACTGTTGTTCATCATGAGGATGATCCTGAACCCGAAAAGTAAAGGTCGTGGCTCTCTGACCCTGTTAAACATTCTTCTCTTGGGAGCCTGACTATACCATTATTCCTTAGACAAAAGGAGGGGTTGAATTGCTTCTCTCAAGCAGTCATAGGCATCCTTTCTAAGGCAGCTCAGTTACATTACTATCTTTTATTTTGTCTATGTATGTACATGCTGGTGAACATGTGTGTACCTATATGTCCATGCATGCCTTGCCAGGAATCAATAATGGATGCCATTCTTAGGTCCTATCTACTTTGCTTTTTTGAGACAGGGTCTCTCACTGGCCTAAACTTCATTCATGTAGGTAGTAAGCCCCAGGAATCCCCCTGCCTTTGCCTCCCCAATGTTGGAATCACAGGCATGTGCCATCACATATAATCTTTTTATTTTAAAATGTGGGTTCTGGGAATCAAACTGAGGCCTTCATGCTTATATGGCAAGCACTTTACTGAATTGAGCTATCTCCCCTGACCCTACACTACTCTTTGAAGCATGCCAACTACATACTCTCCAAGTCCTTTAACCTCTCTGGTACTGCAACTAGTCACCACATAATCTGTATGATATTGCTGAGGAGCCTTCTTATTTCTCTCCTTCACCTCTCCCTTTCTAGATAGTGATTAAGTATGAAATAGTATTCACCTTAAGCAAAAGAAGAGGGGGGCTATAGCTTCCATATCTGGCCCTCAAGAGACTATGTTATGACTCCTAGTTGTAGCTCATAATAACTGGAACAGATGAGCATCAGTGTCCATTGCCTCTCTGTTAGACTAGCTCCCAACAAAAGTAGACTGCTTTCTAGCATCACCAAGACTACCACAGGGGCCTGTATAACTTTTCACATAAAACTGTACTTGCAGTAATTTAGAGCTATCTTGAAAGTGATCACTGTTTTACAATCATTTAAGGTGGCTGCCACCCTTCCCTCTAAAATCTGGTGGCTTGCAATACTCCCAATATATCTGTGGGCACTGTAGAAGGGAAACAAACTCCAGGCACAAAAGTACTTCAAGCACAGGACAAGGAGTATTTGAGGTGACCAACCTTGGCTTCAGAATCCAGGTTTGCAGGATCAGCTGGGATACTGAGTTCCACAGTTCGGGTTTCTACAGCAACTACTCCCACAGGTATTCCCCCTAACCTGGGGTGGGGGAGAGGGAAATGAGCCACACAGGAACATAATGCATGTCAATATTACAATTAGGCATTTATTTTTCATTCACACACAAATACTGAAGGAAAACTGGAAGCAAAAAGACAGCAGGGGAGACTCTAGGGGTTAAATGTGAGACTTCTGTAATTCGGTATTCATTTCACAAATATGGAGGAAAGTCCCCTCACACTCACTCATATTCTAAAATGTCCAACAGGATAAATTCATAGTGAATGCTGTATTAGGGGAGACTTAACAGCCTAGTGTACATATCTCCTTCTGTGGTTACCAAATGAAACTTCCCAGTTTGCTGTCAGTCAGCTCTTGATGGTTGGACACAGCCTGAAACTGCGGGCCTTATGGGATAGAGCTGTGGCAGTTAAACAAGGTCCTGCCCTTCCTTCAGTGGAAAAGAACAAAGAGACAGGAATATTTTTTAGTAATAATCTTGGTGAACTCTGTATCAGAAGCAGATACTTAATTTCAAAGCTATGTTAAGATTCAGAAGTTTGAAGCTTCTGCTTGTATATTTGGTATTAATCTCCCATATTGGTCCTCATTAAGATTTCCTAGAACAAATCACAGATGAAGGGAAGAAAGAAGAGAAACAAGAGGGCCATGTCCAGGGTGGGTGAATCCTTTACTCTGGAAAGTGTGATTCCATCTTCATTCTGTCAGTTGCTTTCTTCTGGGCTGGGACTAGGCTGGGTTATACTCTCATTCCCTGTGACATGTCTGTAACAAACTTTTCCATGAAGGATGGTCTTTAGCTGTTACATCAACTACTGGAAATGGATTCTTTTCATCACAAGAGACCTAAGTAGAGCTGAGTGGAGACCACCCACCACCCCCTTGTCACTTGCCTGCACTGAATCAGAATCAAAAGCCCTCTAGACAACCAGACAACGAGCAGTAGGTACACAGGAGGGTTCAGAAATATTTCTGTTCACAATGATTAACACTCCAACTGGAAACTTGTAATTGCAAAAGCCACCCTAAATCGGTAACTTATAACTTATATATTAGGGCCCATGTGACCTAATAAAGAACATCTTTATCCGAGTATTACAGTTATTTATTGAAGTTGAAAACAGCTCAGAACAACTTCTGTTTTCTATTATACTTCATATAAATTTTATCAGGCTAGCACATGAAGATGCTACATCTTGTTTTATAGTGTGTCCCTGGACAAGGTGCCATGGAATAATAAAAGACAATTTACAGCCAATAGCACACATATTCCAAACATACATACCAAAGATGAGTTTTGGCAGCACTTACAGTAACAATCCCAGAAGAATACATTTATATTTATTTCTTGAAATGCCACTGCCTTTGAAAGAGGCTAGCTCCATTTGTTTTATATACTTCCTGAGCATGTGTTTGTGTTTGGAGTAAGAAGCCCAGAACTCATCAGATGGAAAGAAAGGAAGAAGTCAGAGTGAGTGCTGGAATAAACAATAGCTGAGCTAACCAAAGCTAAGCTTGACTGGTCTTGGTAGCAGAGTATTCCCTGTTCTAGTCTTAAAGGTAAAGCATTGTTCTCTGATATCCCACAGGAAGATCTTAAAGACTAGCAAAAGTTTGACTTTGGAAAGCTTAAAGATTGTCATGTATTTTATACACAGGAAAAGTGAAACAGAATAAACAAAAATAAATTTTCAAAAATCCCGATCCTAATATAACATGAAACCCTGTAATAGTTGTGTGCCCCACTTCCACTTCCTCAGCAGTAATCTTACCTACACAAAGTAATTCTCACAGGGATGCTATAGCTAGGGGTGAAGGAAAAGACCTGACACTTGAAAGAAAATGAGCAGCTAGTTTCTGAGTTCCTGTCTCAGATGACTCCTATTCAGTGCCACAGTGGAAGGCCCTGTCTGTGGGATTCACCATCTGATGGCTCCTTGTCACTGGTTGCATGAGGCATGCTGACCTGATGTACTGAGAGAAGCACAAAGCCTAGAATTATTTTCAAGGCTAGCATCTAAATCTCAAGCCAATGTGGCATGTTGGAGAATCTTGAGCAGGTGCCTCTTTTCACCAAGATAAGAAAAACTGATTGCCCCCTGGAGGAAGGTGAGCCCCTGATGCAGATCTCTCAGGCAGTGTGTCTGCAGCACAGACCTAGATTAAGATCAGCATTGGCAGGTGCTCGTTATAGCGAGCACGACAGATTATTTTGCACAGAGCTTGCTGTTGAGTGAAGCACTTCTTAGAGTGGGTATTAAAATTTAATAGAAACTTCAATTTCCCACTTGAAAAATATGGGTATCCCAGCAACCTATGCCAGCTTATTTTACTCACTCCTGTTTCAGATTAAAAAATTTTTTTCAACTCAAATCTGATTCTATTCCAATACAATGCAGTATTATAAGTCACTTCAGTAGACATGATGTCAGAAAGAGACTCCTCTCAGGGTACACGAGGAACCATAGGGTGCATGCTCCTGAGAGAAAGCAGTCTTATGGGGAAGACTTGATTGGTGATGGTTATTATAGTACAGCTTTGTGGTTCCCAAGGAGTTTCTCTTGAAGAAGTATAAAAAGGAAATATTGATAAAAATCAGCCTTCAAATTAAGCATATCATTAGAACAACACATTGAATGGCTATAGGGACCAGCAGGCTACCTTGGCTATGGCTACTAATACTCTCAGAAAACCCAGATAAAGCTTCACTGGTGAACACTATGACCCTTCCTTCCCTATTTTAACTTGGGAAGAAGAGTTTCCAAAACAAAAGGATGTCTTACCTGGCTCTACCAACCACCACAGTCTGTGCCCAGGGCTGCATTATCTCTGAGAAGGATCCATAGTCAAAAAATCCACTCAACCATTGGCCTTTCTGGGCTGTGAAGGAAAAGAGGTGGGGGTGGGAGGAAAATGAAGAGCATAAGGACATCCCACCTGTTAACAACTGACAATGCACTGGGCTGATGGGTTTAGGGTGGGATTTGGGGACTTATTTTGAGAAGTTTGTTGTTTCTAACCATATTATAATAGATGGGAACATTAAACAACTGAGTGCTTATCTGCCTTCAGAAATCATCCCCTATTTCACTTGCTAGTCTGCATAGAATCATTTATCAGCAAAAGCATCATTTATTGTTAAACGATGGGGCTCAGCTACCAGAGAGTTTGCATGCCTTTAAATAAATAGCTTAGATTTTTTTTAAGATACCACAAACATTTGTCAAAAGGCAGTCAAGTCATTATGTTTTTAAAATGTTTATTTCTATTTTAAAACTTCCCTGACAATTTTGTTTGATTCCATTGATTTTCTTTTAATGGGAAGATGAAAACTTAAGTATTAATGATCAGATGAAGACTCAAACTTGGAGGTAAATAAGAGGTTCTGTCTCTCTGCCAGAAATGTAACAATGGAGACTTGTTTTATTTATGGCTGACAAAGTATAATCTTTCTACGTGAAGGGCCATGACTACACGTCCTTGACAGAACAAAAACATAATGGCTAAGACATATATACTTAAAAAAAAGATGCACACACTTAATAACATCACCTCCCATCCTCATCTAGTTCCATATACTGCAAGCCATGTAACTTTCACCATCTTAGTTTAAGACAACTTTTGTTTTAAAGGCATGAATGTTTGACCAAGTGCCCATAAAGGCTTCTGCAAATAACTGTTTCTTCTTTTGCCCTCTCAGCTCACAGTTTCTCAGTGATTCTTCTAATTTGAACATGGCCCTCCACCCCCTAAACCTCAAGCCCAAAACCAATTAAAAGTAGAGATCTGAGCAAGCTAACCTCTGCTGACTTAAACAGGACGGAGAGTGTTTTATCAAGACTAAACTTGTAATTACTGTGTTCTACATTCCTTGCCTCTATGGCCCCAGTGTAAAATGTGATCATCCATTTCAAAATTATCTCTCTATCACGAGCCCAAAGCTGATCGTTTAGATTCTGGTCTCGTGTTGGGCGTCAGTTTGAAGAATATCTCGGCACTATCTCCTCTAATAAATGACTTTAACTTTTCACCTAGAAGATATCTGCTTTAACTTATCATAGGGAATCATCTGCTTTCTTTAACACTTCCACTAAATTAAAATCTGAAGTTACTCGATTTGGGAGCGAGTGTTAGCTGAACCTAGACAGCAGGATGAATTACTAGAGAGTCAATGAAAAAATATTATCCAAAACACTAGAAAACTTAGTTTATCTCCAATTTTGTTTTACTCTGTAGGTCTTATTAATAATGACCTGGATAATGCCCACCAGCACATGCACTTCTGTTCACCCTATGAAACAAAGCTGTTTTGCTTTTTGAGACAATCTTACCCCGGCTAGATTTCAAATTGTAATCCTCCTTCCTCATCCTCTTAAATGCTGAATTAAATGCATATAGCACTACGCTTTGCAAAGGGCCCAAATTCTGATGAATGTTCTAAACCAAACTGGCTCTAGTTTCACCAAGATAATGAAATTTTAACTTCATATGCCTGGATCATTTTATGATATTTACTTTGATAATAATGATTTGGAACTATAGAATTAATTTCAAAATCAGAACATTTACTTGTTTTGAAACCCTGGGGAGCAATCCAGAAGTTTAGCTAAGTGGTAGGATTCTTCCCTGGGTTCAGTCTCCAGTACCCCCCACAACAAAACTGCTCTGCCTTATGTGCTGACTCGGGAAGAAGGGGCCATTGGCTATGCTAGCTGGACTTGATGGTCCCACAAGGAAGGCCACTCTAGCTCAGATGTACACCTGGATGCCACTGAGATGCTTCCCTATGTTTCCCAGGAGAACACTCACTGAGCTTTGTTCTGAATTTAGAGGAGACCCACTTAATTCCCAGAAAAGTCCTGGGTTTTTTAAGAACAACCACTATGTCAGACTTATGGTTCTCACCGTCATCATGTATAAAAATAAGGAGAAAAGATGACTATGGTGATTTTTCTATGTAAGAAAAAGCAATTTTATTATGGATAATAAGAAATAGAAAAAAAGAGGTGTGGTTATAAATTAAAACTAACAGAGTTCTCTTGATATTTCTAGAATATCTACAGTTAGACATCAAGATGAAGCTTCAGCATCAAAGTAATAGCTGAGGGATCTTGCAAAAATAAGATATGTATATGGAAGTACTTTTATAACAGACTCTACCTTGAGTGATTTCTATCAAGTCTTCCTTATTTATAATGTATGGGTGTTTTAATGTACCTTAATGTATGGGTGTTTTACCTGAGTGCATGTCTGTGTACCAGTGCATGCCTAGTACCCAGGGAGTCAGAACAGGGTGTCTGATTCCCATGGATCTGGAGTTACACGAGATTGTGAGCCACCATGTGTGTGCTGGGGATTGAACCTGGGTCCTCTGGAACAGCAGCCAGTGCTTTAACCGCTGAACCATCTCTCCAGCTCCTGCAACCCATTCTTTTATGTATATAGTGTTTTAAAAATGAATAGTGTCAATGAACATGTAACAAAGAACAAATACTTCCTAATACCATTTAGAGAAAGTAGGGGTCAGTTGTGGTGGGAGGCTCATGCCTGGAATCTCAGCACTTGGCAGACTGAAGCAAGAGAATTTGAAAGTTAAAAGTCAATGTGGACTACATAGCAAGTTCCATGCCAACTGGGGCTATAAACTGAAACCTTATCTCAATAAAAAACAAAGTAAAACAGGCTACTTGGCGCTTTATAAAAGGAGATTTTCTGCAACTGCCAAGTGAATTAACAAATATAAATTTAAATACATACAGCTATTTTTTTTTTCCTGCAGTGTGTGAGTGTGTGTATATGTATACATTGTATGTGGCATGTGAGTAAAGAGAACACCTTAGGTGTCACCACTCAGGTGCCATCTACTGGCCTGGAACTATATAGCACACTAGGTTGGATGGAAGGCCAGCAAGCCCAGGGATCCATCTGTCATCCCCCCAACCCCCACTCCACGCTGAGACTACAAGCACATGCTACCATGCCCATCTATTGAAAATGAGGGTTCTAGGGATAGAACTTAGGATTTCTTAAAAGCATTTTACTATCAGTACTGCTACCAGCATCATAAGAAGAACTTGAAGGTGATATTCAGCAATAGTTTGCTAATTCTACATTTAAGGTTTAGAGACATTTTCTCAAGATAATTTCATTAATCTGTCTTCCCCCACCTTTTATTTTGGAAACATGGTTTAGCTATGCATCTCAGGATACTTGAATCACTATGTAGTCCAAGCTGGCTTTATACTGCTGGTGATCCTCATGCCTCAACCTCTCAAGAGCTGAGGCTGTAAGGATGTACACTTATCGTTGGCTCAATGCTCTTTTAACAGACACTAGTTGGAAGGGAATCTGGTCCTTGGCTGTGGATGTAGCTCACTGGTAAAATGCTTATTTAGCATAAATGAGGCTCTGGGTTTGATTCCCCAGGATCTCCACCCTAACCAAAAGGATTCTAGTCCTATAAGACCATGATTTTATGGCTTATGCCAACTTGTTTAAAGCCTTTTAACCTACTAAGTCCCTCAATAACAGAAGGAATGAATTAGTGATGACACCAGTTGTGACTAAATGAGTGAATAACAAAGCTCAATTTTTCCTTGTTCACATTTTGGTTTTTTTTTTTTGTTTTTTTTTTTTTTACATTTTCTTCCTAGAGCTTTTTCTTACATCTTCCTTATTTCTAGGTATTTAGCTCCAATTTCTTAGTAATATGCTTTTATGCTAGAGTTGAATAGTGACTAGATAGAGCTTGACAGTCAGAATGCCACTAGGTTCTTAAACACATACGTACTTGGGTGAGGACGGCCTGCCAGCATCCACCGAGGATCATATGGGGCTTTTGTGGGAACAAACTCGATGATTCTATCTATAGGATCCTTGGAATTCAGGAGAGGAACTGAACTATGCACGCTCTAAAGAAAGATTGAGAGAGACAGAGCACACCCATTAGAGATGTCAGTCTCACACCTCATCTGGGCAGCAAAAGCTCCAGACAAGGGCATCAAGGCCCACTACAGAACTACACCCAACAGTCCCAATCATCAAGCAAAAGCATCCAGTTATGTGTCAAGGAACATAAAGAACACACACAGTTCCCAACTCTCATTTATGAGCCTGATGCACCGTGGTGCATTTTGACCTGATCCACTGTGCCCTTGTTCTTTGAGAAGCAAGCTCCTGGAGAACAAATAGCTACTACAGGGAAGTAAGTCTTTTGTTTGTTTGTTTGTTTTTGTTTTTATTTCCGAGGCAGGGTTTCTCTGTGTAGATTTGGAGCCTATCCTGGCAGTGGCTCTAGAGACCAGGCTGGCCTCGAACTCACAGAGCTCCACCTGCCTCTGCCTCCTAAGTGCTGGGACTAAAGGCGTGCACCACCAACACCCAGCCTATGAGGAAGTCTTAATATTTGGGGACACCAAATATATAGACACCAGCAAAGTATCTGTGGCTAGAAAACAGTGGGGCTTGGTGAGATACAAAGGTATTCTGAAGGAAGAAATCACAGGTTTCAGAGAAATACTTGATGAAAAATTATCCAAACGGTACTTCAAACAAAATAAGCTGTGGCAGAGATGGTGGGTAGGAAAGACTCACCTTAGGCATGTATGACAGCCAATGTAAGACTGTGAAGACCCCCTCAAAGTCGTCACAAACAGTGCAATGGGTAACCCCGTTGTTGTGCATGATCTGGATGCCCCCAAGCTGATTGTTGGAGGTGTATACTTCCCGGCCAAGGACCTAGGCAAATGAGCAAGTAAAATGACATTTGTATTTACAGATATAACAATGTATATTATTTCCTAATTCTAACTAAATTTTTTTCTTTCCTTCACCAAAGACAATCCTGTTTTCCTTACCTTGTTCAGAGGGACTGTCAGACTTCCTTTCTTAAAAGAACATTTAGAAAACAAAAAAGATCTTCAACAGTTACATACACTGCTGAAGTTTTAAAACCAGCAAGCTCACCCTTTCTAGAAGCCACCACAGACATGTGCACAAGACTGTAGCTCTGATTGAAATTGTGGTAGGTAGGTTGGGACCCCGGGGGAACTGGCTACATGCATACGCACACTCGATGTCTATGTTGAAGAAATGCTATGGGGTTGGGTGCATTATTTTTTCTAAAGAATTAGCTTTTTCCTTACGTTTGAATTTTAAAGCTGGCACACTGTCTCACTCCCCCATCCCTAAAGCAGGCAAAATCCCAAAACAGCTCATGACACATACACACAAACCCCTAGACTCCAGTCTCTTTGTGTGCTGGGTGTGAGGCTGTGATTTATTTCCCAAGCCTGTTTCCCTCTGAGGACTGGGAAGGATTCAGGCCTCATCCCAGTGTCTTTGGAGGACTTTAACCCTTGTCAGGTTGGGGGCACTTGCAAATAGAAACTACAAAGTTTCCTTTAAAGTAGAAAAGAGAAAGAAAAAATATTCTTGGACTTGGAAATTGTAGGGTTTCATTTCTTCCTGAAGATTGGTTAATAATTTCTTCCAGGGAGGGAGGTTTTCTGACCCAGCAGATGGAAGTCAGGTGGCCTGATCACTGACTATTGCAAACTGCTGAGTGTGTAGTAATTGCCAGTCATCTACAGTAGCCCTGGAGAGCGCTAAACAGTTGTGGAGTGTTCACTCTATGTTCTCTTTTCTGTTCCCTCTCCTCTTTTCTAAAAAACAACAACATAAATTTTTTTCTTACTTACTTTTATTCATTTTCATCATCTTGGGAGAACCTAAACAAATTAAGGGCCAACAAACTCTGCCTATATATTTTCAATTGGTCCTTTCTTATTAGGGGCTTGGAGAGGTTCCCCTGCATGTTGGGTCAGCCTCCTACAGCAAGACCTTCCAAAGACTGAGCAAGTTAGTGACCAAAGTAATAACCTCACTGTGATCCCGCTGGCCTTGGTTCCATTTAACTTCAGCTAGGAAAGGCATAGAGAGTTTTCTGAAAAGAATATGGAGAGCAAAATTGCTCTCCGATTACTGCTTTCCTTGATAAGGAAGCAGAGAGAACAAGCCTTTCCAGGCAGCCCTAAGCCAAGCAACATGCTGGCAGCTCCTTTGAAGGAGCCAGTGAATAGGGGAGACCATATCTGACCAGTGGGCTGCCATCCTCTTCTCTGTCTGTCTTTAATCTTAGCCCAGGCGCTGCGGCTCTTTTCTCATTCTCCTGCTGTCTCTTTCCATTTGCCCTCTCTCTGACTGATACACTGATCTCTCGGTCACTCGGCTTTCTGCTCTACTGAGTCCATATTACTAATAACACCTCCGCCACGGCCAGTTTACCTCATGAAGGCAGGAGCACATCATTACAAAATAAACTCATAACTTTGACATTCTAGCAAATACATGCCGTTTGTTATTTTTATGGCTTTAGTCTTTCTAACAGGCAGAGGGCATTACATACCTGTTTCATTTATATCTTTAAGCGTGCGTGCACACACACTCTTGCACATGCACCAGGAAACAAAACAGAACAAAAAACAAAACCAATACAATTTCTAAAGCAGTCAGTTGATGGGGACTCTGGTGGAGGCAGAAGGCCCTTCATTCAGGGAGGCCACGCTCTGATATGACTCTGGTTTTATGGCTGTCATAAACCCGATGGCCCACAACTGGTCCTTCTGGGACAGACTGCTTCTCTGCTAGAAGTCATTCAGTGTGATCAGCAGTATTTTTAATTATTAAAATAAAATTGGAAAGGAGAAATGAAATAAAAAGGAGACATAGTGCTGACCCTGAGTATCTGATATTCACAATTTATGTCAGGAGCCAGATATTCCCTGTTGCATAGGGAAGAGGTATTTTTTTGTTGAGAAACATTACTTTTGGTCCCATTTCTAATACTTGATGATGTCTAACCATGAGAACATCGAGCAGTTACAAAACTAGCAATGAACCCATGAAGGACCAAGCTCAGACAAAGGAATCTAAGACAACCAAGAACAGCTTAGTTATTTAAGTGCACCATCTTAAATGTCTTTACCCTCTTTTCGATGAGTTGGAAAGGGCATCTAAAACCAGGCAATTCCCAGAGAGGTTCAGTGGCTTACCCATTCTACATTAATTGTTATTCTGAACCCAGGGCACACTTCTTTGAACCCCAAATCTACAGTTTCAAACTAGGAGCAAGATTCAGTAGCAGCACATCTTCTCACTCCAGTTCTGATGCTTTGGAAATGTTTGGGGAAGCACCAGCATTTCCACATTTCTTTTCCTCTGGGTTCCAAAGAAACGCTAGGGCTCATCACAACTGAGAACATCATTTCTGTGCTAACAAATGCTTATCACCTGAGAAAACTCATTTAATTTATTAATGGACAAGAAATCACAGGATAGGCTAACAGAGCATCCAAAGAGCCGTTTCTGAACAGTGTTAGCTTGGGAAATGGGGGTGGAGTAGAGATGGAAACACAGAAATGAAGCCCTTCCTTAACTACAAACACACAGCAACAATCACAGTTACTAACAATCAAGAGAAAACAGTACCCTTGGTTATCTTCAGCTGCCTGCAGGTTTGGAGTATGCATCAGTGAGATAAGTGAGGGCTCTCACAATAGCTACTGATTTTGTAGGGGTCATTGCTGATTCAACTGGTTTTAATGATTTTAGAATACTTCGCAATGAAAGCTCCAACCAAGGAAGCAAAATCTGGATAGGACAGATTCTATTCTGCCCAGTTCTGAAGTGATTATGCAGTGATAGCCACAAAGTCCAGCTGGCAACTGAAAGATTGAAAGAACCCACAAAGAATCAGTGTTTTTCTCAATAAGAGAAAGTTGTGGGTCAACAGTCCTCACCATCATTATATTTTCACAAGTAGGTGGGCTTCATTTGTCACTCATTTAAACACTGATGGAGGCATTTCTGTATTAGTCAAATTCCTTGCAATGTTTTTGATTGCTGAATCATTCTCCTTACATTTTCTACTACATGAATCAAATTTCTAATTTTTTTGTCTAATAAGCACCTACCACCATTTGAACCAAGAGACATTCAAAAGGGCACTCCTGAGGCCACCTTTGCTCTCTAGCTCTAAGTGGCCAAAGCAACACTATGAAATAACAAGAAAAGCACCATTATAGGGTCCTTTGCTTAGGAGTGCCCAGGCCACAGAACTAAAGGGCTAAATCTGAGAGCAAAGAGGATCTTCATCCAGTCTTGCTATATATTTAAGCTTCAATGAACACTCCACTTATTGTAGTTGGCAGACTTAAGAATTAAAGTATCTCATGAAAGCCAGTGATTAGTAGAGATGCAATTGTTAAAGGTTTCACCAAAGGTGCTATAGAGCCTGCAGAAATGCTGAGATGCCTAAGAGCTATAAATGGATGCAGTCGAACATTCTAAGGCCACTGTTGTTGCTGCTGCTGCTTATCCAGAAACACTGCAGACAGCTCAGGTTTACCACAGCTGACAGGCAATGAAAACAGTCTAATATACCGCCTGCTCTCACCCTTAAATCCCTTTTTGGAGATCAAGATAAACACATTCTTCCTTTCCCCAGTGCTCCAGACGTTTGACTGAAGTGGCAGAGCACTGTGAGGGTTTGTGCAAATGAAATCACTATGTAATACTGAATGAGTATAGTATTTACTTATCAGGATATTTATCAGCAGAAGTATTGAGATTTCCAAGTTTCACAGATGCAACTTGTCTAAATTTTTAAAATATTGCTTTTATCCTGATATACATATTATTTTGGGGACTTTTAGAGTTATATGTAAATATCAGCAATCATGTAATAATATGGAGTGTAATAATAATATGGAAAATAATAATGGTGACTATTAATCATGAAAAAAAAAAAAGGAAATCTACATGTTTTTTTTCCCCTTTTTAACAATCCTTGGAGAGCCAGGCATTTACGATTTTAGGAAGCAGAGAGCACAAAATTCCTCCAATCCTGAGAATCAGGCTACACAAGCTGAGTCCTTGATTCAATCCTCTCATGGTATTTCCATTCTCCAGAAAGTAAATTTACTAAGCAATCATCATCATTGGATGTCATGCATGATTCTAGGTATTAAAGTCATTCTGGGATGCTATTGATAAAGGATTGGGGAGGGCAGAAAGACATGAGTAAAAGCAGATGGGAATAGGGAAAAAGTGGTAAAATAGGGACAAAAAGAGAAGGAGGATAAAAGAGGAGAAAGGGGCAGAGGAGAGAAAAGAAGGGGAAGAAAAAAAAAAAAGAAAAACCGGTAACAGCACAACTACTCAGCACTGCTATCGTCCTCCTTGACCTGACAGAACCACATTTTTAAAAGCTGACAAGTAATTCAATCTCCAATTAACAATTCTAAGTGGCACTGCACATATTACTGTGTAAATGTTTCTCCAGGAATACATCCACGGTGAATGGAATTACATTTCTTGGGAGCCTGGGACAATACCTCTGTGACCAAAAATATTTGGATGTTACAAAATACACAGCTAAAGGATTATACTTCTTTCTATGCCTTTGTTGTCACTGCTAGCACTGGCAAACTGGAGAGCTAGCTGGCAGCTGGTGGATTAGGCGTGGGTAGAGAGGAAGCTCAATGATATTCACTGGTGGGTAGGGGGGCTGATTTGAGCCATAGTTTGAGTCAAGATAATCCCCTTGCAAGACTCAAAACTCTCTCAATAAGAAACAAATTCTGCTTGACCGAGTTTGCTGAAGAGTGAACTTGGACAAAGATTTGCTACCAGTGGCAGGAAAAGACTTTGATTTTGTTTTAGATGTATTTAAAAAC